ATGGAGGTCACGAATTATTTCGAGGTCACAAATAGATAATTTTATAGGTCACGGATTATTTTATTTGTCACAGATCAAAAAATTACAGGTCACAATTATCTATCAGTCACATATTTTCAAATTTATTGGTCACTGATTAATTCTTAGTCATATATTGTGGAATTTTAAGGTCACAGTTAGTCCTTATACGATTTTTTTTGTGACCACCACCGACGGACTTTTGTGACCACATCCGACACTAGTGTCCACTACCTCACTACTGCCACATAGCCGTCGAAGCTCCCACAGCCAAAACCACCACCACCATCTCCCAGCATTGCAACCCACCACCGCATCGCAACCCACCGATCCACTACCATTGCCATAACCGCGCAGATCCGCCACCACAACGCAAACACCACAAAAAAATGAATCGAAAAATACCCGTCAAAACTCCCGCAGCCAAAACCTCCACCACCATCTCCCAGAACCACAACCCACCACCGCATCACAACCCACCGATCCACCACCTCAAAACTCTACAGGCGAATAATTCGTTCTGTTCTTATCTGATAACCGTTTTCCTTAGAATCAACTAAGTGAGGTAGCTCTTAAGAGACATTCAGGCAACCAGACCCAGGAGAATGAAAGCACTGCGCACGGTAGCGACACCACCGCATCACAACCCACCAAATCCACTACCATCGCCCGAAACTCCCGCAGCCAAAACCACCACCACCACCATCTCCCACCACCGCATCACAACCCACCAGATCCACCACCTCAAAACTCTACAGGCGAATAATTCGTTCTGTTCTTATCTGATTAGTGTTGTCCTTAGAATCAACCAAGTGAGGTAGCTCTGAGGAGACATTGAGGCAACCATACCCAGGAGAATGGCAGCACTGTGCAAGGCAGCGATGCTCGTGTTTGTGCCACTGAAAGCGGGACGATCGTGTGCCTCAACTCCGCTGCGCAGGGACCGGAGAAAAGTCCATCGCCACATGGCAGCGCCTTCGACGATCGCCGAGCCTCAACTCCACTATGCAGGGGTGCACCTCTGACGCTGGGCCTCAAAGCTGGAGTTGTGGTGCTGGGAAGGTTTGTGTAGAAAGAGAGAATGTAGAGTGAGGCAACGGTTTTTAGAGAGAGGATGGAGAAAAGTAGAGAGAGAGAGAGTAGTTTGAGAGCTAATTAGGGTTTGTAACGTGTATTGCAGTATATATATTTAGTAAAAATATTTATTTTATAAAAAAATTAATTAAAATAAAACTTCTGATTTTTGAAAGAAAAAGTATTCCACCTGATTTTAGAATTCATATCTCCAAACATAGGGTAAGGTGTAATTTCCACTAAATATATTCTTGAAGATACAGTAGTGCAAATAAAGACGAAGGTTCCACAACCCAATATTGATTTTTTTAAAAAATTAATCAAGGTTAATTTTTGTTTTGTAGATTTGATTGATGCATTTTAATTTTTTCTTTACTTTTTAAATATAAGAATTTTTAGGCAATAAATAGTAATCACCACTCACATACCTCACGTGTTTTCACAGTTCTATTTCTTGAATGCGAAAACTGATTCTCAGACAAACTGAATGG